TTTAACCAAAAGAAATGAACCAAACCAAAGATGAAAACCTCCTAGAATGCATTTGGGTCAATATAAAAGGAAAAAAGAATGACATTGCTATAGGCTTATATTACAGGCCACCCAACCAAGCATAAGAAATAGATGAACTTTTTGCTTTACCAAATATATATAGGAAACACACCATAGTAATAATGGGAGACTTTAAATTCCCTGATATCAACTGGGAGACAAACTCTGCAGCAAGTGGGAGATTGAACAGATTCCTAACCAACATAGGTAACAACTTTGTCATTTAAAAGGGAGAGGTGGGTACTAGAGGAAAAGCTATACTGGACCTAATTCTTACAGTGAAGAAATGACAGAAGAGGTTGAAGTTGTCACAACTTTGGGTGAGAGTGAGCACGTAATTTTGGAATTCAATATAATGCAACGCAAGCAATAGAACATAATCAAACAGTGTCTTAAACTTTAAAAGAGTTGATTTTAAGAAACTCAGAGCCTAGGAAAGGTTCCATAGATGAAAATCTTAAAGAGGAAAATAATTCAAGAAGCTTGGGAAACTCTGAAAAAAAATAATAAAAATCCAGTCCAGAACAATACCACTGAAAAAGAAAAACAAGAAATTCAAGAAGAAAGCAGCATGGTTGCACAAACATCTCTCTGATAAACTGAAAGGTAAAAAAGATAAGTACAAAAAATGAAAAGAGAGACATATAACTAAGACAGAATATCAACAAATTTGTCTGAATCTGCAAAGATGAAGTCTGGAAAGCTAAGGCTCTGAATGAACTAAGACTTACAACAAATGTCAAAGATAATAAAAAAAACAATTTCTTTCATCATATAAATAACAAGAAAAAAGTTAAGGAAACAATCAGTCCACTAAAGAGAGAAAATGGCAAGAAAATAATGCAGTAGGGAGAAAGCAGAACTGCTTATTCTTTGCATCAGTCATCACGCAAAAAGAAACTGTAGCCCAACCTACTAAAAACATACAGTGAGGGAAAAATTATTTGATCCACTGCTGATTTTGTACATTTGCCCACTGACAAAGAAATGATCTTCTATAATTTTAATGGTAGGTATATTTTAACAGTGAGAGACAGAATAACAACAAAAAAATCCAGAACAACGCATTTCAAAAAAGTTATAAATTGATTTCCATTTTAATGAGTGAAATAAGTATTTGGCCCCTTCGCAAAACATGACTTAGTACTTGGTGGCAAAACCCTTGTTGGCAATCACAGAGGTCAGACATTTCTTGTAGTTGGCCACCAGGTTTGCATAGACCTCAGGAGGGATTTTGTCCAACTCCTCTTTGCAGATCCTCTCCAAGTCATTAAAGTTTTGAGGCTGATGTTTGGCAGTTCAAACCTTCAGCTCCCTCCACAGATTTTCTATGGGATTAAGGTCTGGAGACTGGCTAGGCCACTCCAGAACCCTAATGTGCTTCTTCTTGAGCCACTCCTTTGTTCCCTTGGCCATGTGTTTTAGGTCATTGCCATGCTGGAATACCCATCCATAACCTATTTTCAGTGTCCTGGCCGAGGGAAGAAGCTTCTCATCCAGGATTTGATGGTACATGGCCCCGTCCATCATCCCTTTGATGCGGTGAAGTTGTCCTGTCCCCTTAGCAGAAAAAAAGCCCTAAAGCATAATGTTTCCACTTCCATGTTTGAGGGTGAGGATGATGTTCTTGGGGTCAAGGCAGCATTCCTCCTCCTCCAAACATGGCGAGTTGAGTTGATGCCAAAAAGCTCAATTTTGGTCCTATCTGAACACAACACTTTCACCCAGTTCTCCTCTGAATCATTCAGGTGTTCATTGGCAAACTTCAGACGGGCCTGTACATATGCTTTCTTGAGCAGGGGGACTTTGCGAGCGCTGCAGGATTTCAGTCCTTCACGGTATAGTGTGTTACCAATTGGTTTTTTGGTGACCCAGAAGTCTTGAGATCATTGACAAGATCCTCCCGTGTAGTTCTGGACTGATTCCTCACCGTTCTCATAATCATTGAAACTCCATGGGAGATCTTGCATGGAACCCCAGACCAAGGGAGATTGACAGTTATTTTCTGTTTCTTCCATTTGTGAATAATCGCACCAACTGTTGTCATCTGCTCACCAAGTTGCTTGGTGATAGTCTTGTAGCCCATTCCAGCCTTGTGTAGGTCTATAGTCTTGTCCCTGACATCCTTGGACAGTTCTTTGGTCTTGGCCATGGTGGAGACTTTGGAATCTGATTGATCGATTGCTTCTGTGGACAGGTGTCTTTTATACAGGTAACAAGATGAGATTAGGAGCACTCCCTTTAAGTGAGTGCTCCTAATCTCAGCTCATTAGTTGTATAAAAAACACCTGGGAGCCAGAAATCTTGCTGACTGATAGGGGATCAATTACTTATTTCACTCATTAACATGCAAATCAATTTATACCTTTTTTGAAATGCATTTTTCTGGATTTTTTTCTTATTCTGTCTCTCATTGTTAAAATAAACCTACTGTTAACATTATAGACGGGTCATTTCTTTGTCAGCAGGCAAATATACAAAATCAGCAGGGGATCAAATATTTTTCCCTCACTGTAAGCATAAAAGATAGACCAGAAATAAAAATTAAAATAAGGAAGAAAATGGTAAGAGAACACCTGTCTGATTTTGACAAGTTTAAATCACTAGGACCTGACAGATTACATCCCAGAGAAGTTGTTATGGGAATCAAATTGATAAGTGCAGTTCCCAGGCACCATTCTTAGGTTTCCTTTCAGCCTCTTGATCTCCAACCCACGGGCATATTCCTTCTTCCGTTTACACTTCCCAATAGAATAGCAAAGCATCTTCCTCCCCCCTCCCAACAGAATGGCAGACCTGAACATAGAAAGAAAAGCCATATTATAAATGATGGTCCATCATGATGCCCCCTAAAAAAAATGGAAGATCCACCTGCAGGAGAGAGAAAATAAGAAAATAGGAAAAGAAAAATAGGCAGTGCAGGGTTTATCAGGATAGCGTTCATGGAAGCATTTAAGTAGTCTTAGGGCCCTAACATGCTTTTTGTGGATCCATTCATTTTGGGAAGCTGGCAAATCTTTCCAGGCTACCAAATATTGGACAGTCCCATGATACTTATGTGAGTCAAGATTTATTTAATCTCAAAGTGTTGTTCACTGTCCACCATAATTGGCTTAGTGTAGGAGGTGCTTTTGGCCTTAAAGGTGAGATTATCTTAAATTTCAGTAAGCTACAATGAAATACGGGGTGAATCTGTCTTAAAGTCTTGGGGAGTTTTAGTTCCACAGTAACTGGATTTATGATGTGCTTGATTGGAAAGGGACCTACAAATTTGGGTCCTAACTTCTTGGAAGGTTGCAGGTATTGCAGAAACCTAGTGGATAAATAGACTTTGTCGCCAATGCGAAAAGGTTTGGGTTCCCTTTCTTTTTATCTCCTTGAGCTTTATAAGCATCCCTGGCTTCATCGAGAGCTTTCCTGACTATTGGCCAGGTATTTTGCAGCCAATACATCCATTCCTTAAGGAAAGGGATAGTGGGCTGACTGGTTGGTAATTCAGGCATAGGATTGAACACCTGTCCTGTGATGACTTGAAAGGGGGTGTACCCAGTGCTGCAGTGAACAGCATTGTTATATGCCACCTCAGCAAAGGGCAAGAGGTCAGTCCAATTGTCTTGCTGGTAATTGATGAAGCATCTAAAGTACTACTCTAGAACTGAGTTTGTTTGTTCTGTCCCATTCGTTTGAGGATGATGACTAGAACTCAAGCCTTGTTCTGTGCCCAATAGGTCCAAAAAGGCCTTCCAGAACTTTGAAGTAAACTATATACATCTGTCTGAAATTATGCGCTGAGGGGCTCCATGCAACTGATAAATATGTTGGAGAAATATTTTAGCTAAGACTTTAGCAGTTGGGATCTTTTGTCATGGAATGAAATGGACTTGCTTAGAGAATAGTTCAGTCATGACTCAGATAACTGTATTTCTCGAACTCTCTAGCAATTCCATAATAAAGTCCATAGAAATTTTTCTCCAGGGTGCTGAAGGGCTCACTACCGGCTGTAAAAGGCCAGGGATTTTCTGTTGCCTTTGCTTCGCTGCTGTGAAATAGGGCAGCTGGCCACATAACTTTCAATACTTTTTTCAATGATGGCCACCAGAATTGCCTTTTTATCAGTTGTAGGGTCTTCACAAATCCGAAGTGCCCCACGAGTTTTGAATCATGGGAAACTTGCATAGTTTTTAATCTTTGCATGGCAGGGACATAGAGTTTTCCTCCCACTCAGGCTAGTCCATCCTGCATCAAGCAAAGATTTTTATGCTTTTAAAACCACTCGTCTTTCTCTAAAGCTTATTTGAACATGGTTAAGGCAGCATTGTCCAGTGGTGTGGGGCTTCTCTTCTGTGATCTCGTGACCACTGGGGCTGCTAGTTGCTGTGCTGGTAATAAAGCCTTCACTACATCCGCTTTGGAGCTGTTGTACTGTGGCATCCTGGACAAGGTGTCAATTAAGAAATTCTACCCCCCCCCGGCAAGTAGTGGAGAGTGAAATTGAATCGGTGGAAGTGTTGGGCTCACTGTGTTTGTTTAGGTGACAGCTTCCTGCGCATTCTGAGAGCTTCTAAGTTTTTATTGTCAGTTCACACTTGGAAGGTGATTTTGCTTCCTTCCAAGAAGTGCCTCAGGTAAGGAGGGCCCAACGTACTGCATAAGCTTCCTTCTCCCAAACGGCCCAACATTGTTTGGTTTCTGATAATTTTTTTGGAGGTGTAAGCACCTGGTTGTAGTTGGCCTTTTTCATTTTCTTGGAGCAACACTGCTCCCACGGCTACATCGCTGGTGTCAGCTTGAATTATAAATCTCTTTTCTGGATCTGGGTGTTTTAAAATTGGCTCCATTGAGAAAAGCCTTTTTAGCTTTTCAAACACTGCTTGGCACCCCATTGTCCATTTTAGAGGCTTGCTAGGTTTTGGCTTATCCATCTCTTTTGTTTTTAACAGGTTTGTGATAGGTAAGGCAATTTGGGTGAAAGAAGGAATGAATTGCTGGTAGAAATTCACAAACCCCAAGAAGTTCTATAGCTGCTTTCTGGTGCAAGGAGCCGCTCATTCCAGTACCTTCTCCGGGTCCATCTTCACCCCTTCATTGAGATCCGGTAGCCCAGGTAGTCAATTTTCTCATTGTGGAACTCACATTTTGATAATTTTGCATAAAGCTTGGCAGCTTGGAGTTTATTCAGGACCAATTTTATGTGTTCTGCCTTCATTTCGGTGTAGATTAAGATATCACCAGGTACACCAAAACGCCCTTATACAAGTGCTCATGCAAAAATACTGCAGAAGCCCCTTGCAAGCCAAAAGGAAGTACTTTAAATTTGAAACAGCTGAGGGAAGTTGAAAGCAGTTTTCCACTTATCCCCCTCCTTGATTCTAATTTGATAGTATGCCTCTTGCAGGTCTAATTTGGAAAATATATTTCCTTTTGATAGGTGGGCCAGCATATCTTTCATGAGGGCAGTGAGTACACATTTTCTATGCACACTGTGTTCAAACCTCTATAGTCTATGCAGAGACGAAGAAAGCCATCTTTCTTCTCACTGAATAGCATGGGGTTGCCTATTGGTCTCCGGTTCCAATTCAAGGTGTTGGTTATTACCTTTAAAGCTCTATATGGCTCAGGGCCAGGCTATTTGCGAGACCGCCTACTACCTCATAGTTCTCTTCGTCCGGTTAGATCCCACAGGCTGGGCCTCCTTCAGGTCCCGTCAGCCAAGCAGTGCCATTTGGTGAGGCCGTGGGGGAGGGCTTTCTCTGTGATGGCACCCACGTCTTTATTTATTTATTTATTTATTTATTTACAAATATTTATATGCCGCCCAATCCCAAAGGACTCAGGGCGGCGTACAAGGTTAAAAACAGTCATAAAAGAATAAAATAATCCAGTCACACCGCGAGTCCGATCATATCCCGCCCCCCCGGGGACATCAGCCCCAGGCCTGCCGGAACAGGAGAGTTTTAACGGCTTTCTTAAAGGCCGGCAGGGTGGGAGTTGTTCGAACCTTGGGGGGAAGTTGATTCCACCAGGTCGGAGCCACCACAGAAAAGGCCCTTCCCCGAGGGCCCGCCAGCTGACATTGTCTGGCCGACGGGACCTGAAGGAGGCCCAATCTATGGGACCTCTGGGAGCTGTGTGGCAGAATGCGGTCCTGTAAGTAACCTGGCCCTATGCCATGAAGGGCTTTGAAGGTGATAACCAACACCTTGAATTGCGTCCGGAGACCCACAGGAAGCCAGTGCAGCTCGCGGAGGATAGGTGACACGTGGGCGTACCTTGGCGCGCCCACAATCGCTCTCACGGCTGCATTCTGAACCAACTGCAGTCTCTGAACGCCCTTCAAGGGTAGCCCCATGTAGAGCGCGTTACAGTAATCCAGTCTTGAGGTGACAAGGGCATGAGTGACTGTGAGTAAAGCCTCCCGTTCCAAATAAGGCCGCAACTGGTGCACTAGGCGAACCTGTGCAAAGGTCCCCCTGGCCACAGCCGATAGATGTTGTTCCAGATTTAGCTGTGAGTCCAGGAGGACACCCAAGGTGCGTGCCTGCACTGAGGGAGGTAAATTTGCCCCCCCCCAGGACTAAAGATGGACCATCCAGTTGGCCTTTGGGAGGCAAGACCCAGAGCCACTCGGTCTTGTCAGGGTTGAGTCTACGCCTGTTCACCCCCATCCAGACCCTCACATCTTCCAGGCACCGGCACATCACGTCGACTGCTTCACTGAAAGGACACGGGGTGGAGATATATAATTGGGTATCATCCGCATACTGATGATACCTCACCCGTGTCGCCGAATGATCTCACCCAGCGGTTTCATGTAGATGTTAAAAAGGAGGGGGGACAGGACCGAGCCCTGAGGCACCCCATAATCGAGGCGCCTAGGGGTCGATCTCTGTCCGCCCGCCAACATCGACTGCGACTGTCAGAGAGGTAGGAGAACCACCGCAATATGGTGCCGCCCACACCCACCTCTCCGAGACGACGCAGAAGGATACCATGGTCGATGGTATCGAAAGCCGCTGAGAGGTCAAGAAGCACCAGGATAGAGGAATGACCCCTATCCCAGGCTCGCCAGAGGTCATCAGTCAGTGCAACCAAAGCAGTCTCAGTGCTGTAGCCGGGCCTGAAACCAGATTGAAAAGGGTCCAGATAATTGGTTTCCTCCAAGGATCGCAAGAGTTGAGATGCCACCACCTTCTCTACAACCTTCCCCACAAAGGGGAGGTTGGAGACGGGACAAAAGTTCTTCAAAACAGCTGGGTCCAGGGAAGGCTTCTTGAGGAGGGGCCTCAATACCGCTTCCTTTAAAGGTTGGGGGAAAGACCCCTCCATCAAGGAGGCGTTGATTATCGCCTGGAGCCAGCCTCGTGTCACCTCCCTACTGGCAGAAACCAGCCAGGAGGGGCACGGGTCCAATAAACAGGTGGTGGCATTCATTGCCCTCACAGCCTTGTCCACTTCATCAGGGGTCACAGGCTTAAACTCACTCCAGATAACATGACTAAGACCAGCCCCTGGCAACTCGGCTGGCACTGCCCAGTCAGAGTCCAGGTCTCTCTGAATCTGAGCGATTTTGTCCGACAGAAACTGAACAAACTCCTCAGCTCTCCCCTGCAAGGGTTCCTCCGCCTCCTCCACTTTAAGAAGGGAGCGGGTCACCCTAAACAAGGCGGCCGGGCGAGATTCTGCGGACGCAATGAGTGCGGAAAAATGAACACTCTTATCGCCACTAAATAAGTCCTAAGATAGGCTCTTAATAGTGATCGGTCAGATTCAGAGTTACTGGCCCTCGAACGTCGCTCTAGACGTCTCTTGTGGCGCTTCATCTCCCGGAGCTCCTCAGTAAACCAAGGGGCCCTCCGGGGACCACCACCACAGAGAGGTCGCAAAGGCGCAATTCGATCCAGGGCCCCGGTCGCCGCCTCATTCCAGGCCGCAACCAGGGACCCGGACGAGTTGTGGACAAGGGAGTCAGGTATTTCCCCAAGCTCCTCCTGGAACCGATCTGGGTCCGTTAGGCGCCTGGGGCGGAACCACCTAGTCGGCTCCCTCTCCCTGCGATGGGGGAGTGATGCTCTGAAGTCCAGCCTCAATAGGAAATGATCTGTCCATGACAAGGGCGAGATCTCTATTCCCCTTAATTCCAGATCATGTTTCCATTGCCCCGAGAGAAACACAAGGTCGAGTGTGTGACCACCCCTATGAGTTGGGTCCTGAATTACCTGGGTCAGGTCCATGGTTGCCATGGAAGCCATGAACTCCTGCGCCGCCTCTGAGCGATCGCCGAGTGATGGCAGGTTAAAGTCCCCCAGTACTATAAGTCTGGGGAACTCCACCGCCAACCCGGCTACTGACTCCAGCAACGCAGGCAGGGCTGTTGCAACGCAGCTGGGAGGTAGGTACGTCAGCAGCAAGCCCAACTGAACCCGTGAACCCAACTTCAATAGGAGGGACTCACCCCAACAACCTCCGGGGCAGGAATCCCACGAGGGCTCAAGGACTTCCGAGTGATGACTGCCACTCCCCCGCCCCTGCCCTGATGTCGAGGCTGATGAAGCACCACAAACCTGTCCGGGCACATCTCGGAGAGGGAAACACCCCCCTCAGGGCCCAGCTAGGTTTCGGTTATGCATGCCAGGTCCGCCCCGCTGTCCAATATTAAATCACGGACAAGGGGGGCTTTGCTGACAACGGACCTGGCATTAAGCAACAGCAGCCTGCAATCAGGGCCCTGTACTCCCCTGTCACCAGTACTACAAGATGAGCCTTTTGAGGGGCCGGAACAAGGAATCGCTCTAACATAGCGAGTCCTCGTTCCCCAAAGATGGCCTGCCCCTCGGCTCCCGCCATATCTGCCCATCCCAGTCATGACCAGAATGCTCCGACCTTCTCCCCTCCCCGGAATACCTCCACCCTCACCAGCCTTCTCCCTTCCTGACCGGACTCGCTTTCCATACAAACCAAGCCCAAGGGTAAGTCCTGCCCCCCCCTACTGTTGCTATTGCACTCAGCAGAGGGGGTACCAGGCTCCACCCCCGACTCCACCATTCTCATACCCCAAACACTCAATACACATTCACACTCAATTTATATACATAAAAAGTAAAAAAATTCCGCATTCATACACCCTAAATACAGTAATAAATTTATATATAACAGGGCCACCATTCATCTACATGCATACTCACACCCACACCCAGTCTTGGAACCAGCTCCCCCCGGAGATTAGGACCGCTCCCACCCTGTTGGTTTCCCGCAACTGCTTAAGACCTGGCTTTTCCGGCAGGCCTGGGGTTTATAAAATCTGACCCCTGGATGAATGTTATTGTATTGTTTGTTTTGTTAGTTATATTGTGTTTTTATTGTTAGCCGCCTGGAGTCCTGCGGGAGTGGGGCGGTCTATAAATTTTAATAAATAAAATAAATGGGGGAGGTCACCTGGGGTCTGGCTGGCTGGATAAATCCAGAATAGATTAGATTATATTAGATTAGATTAGAAGATAGATAGATAGATAGATAGATAGATAGATAGATAGATAGATAGATAGATAGATAGATAGGGTAGAGGTTCGTTCTCCAAGCTTATTGGTTGGTTTCTGAATATTTTGTTACCAGGCTAGGTAACATCTTCAGCCAAATTTATGGGATGTCAGTGTCAGTGGTCTTCTGATTATAAGTGCTTTGTGTGGCCAGTAGATCTTATGATAGTGAAGTCATGTCAGGTGAGGGTCACATCAGGTCAGGGTCTTGTGGTAGGTCTTGTGATGGGTCAGGTGTGAGTCACCAGTGAGAGTCTTGTGATGGGGAGGTTACATCAGGTCAGGGTCATTGGGAGGTGAAGTGCTGATTGGGAGGGGCTTGAATGGGTCAGTTGAGGGTTGGTGCTATCTCTGGTTGGCTGTATAGTTGATTTGAATTCTGCGGGGTTCGTAGGCTGGTTGTAGGTTTATATGTCTGTTGATGGAATTGCTTGTGGAGTGCCAAGCTTCAATGAACTCACGAGTGTGGCAGGTGGTAGCATGGCTGATGATTCTTGTATTGCTCCAATCAAACTGGTGCTGTTTGGTGTCAGTTTGGGTACAGATTAGGGATTTGGGATTGTGGCATTTG